GTTGGTTTTAGTACAGAAAATATAGGGTTTTCATAATATTTTAGATGTCCTTGGGTGTCCCGAAAATTCTAGAGTGCTATTAAATATAGTAGCAGTATAGTAATCAGCCAATCAGAAACTTGTGGTGGTCGGTGTTCGATATCTTCCTTAAACTCCGTATACAGTTCGTCTCGGTAACCGTCACTAAATAACGCTCCAACGGTATATTAATCAGAAGGCGAATACGAAGTTTTAGTTACGTTTATTATAGGACCACACACAGATATCCAAAATTACAGATGCGTTAAGCAAGCATGAAATAGTTGTGCCGAAAGGCAAACAGGCAAGCGAGCGGGCGAGAGAGAGCGAGGGCAAGAGCGAGCGAATGAACGAACGAGCGAGTAATGAATATGAATAACATGGACATATGTATACATAGTGAAATGAATGAATCATCGAATCAATTAAGCGGTTAATAGTAAAGCTAGTAGCGTGAATAAATGCGTAGGCAGTATGGCTTGTCGAGCATACATATTCATACAAGGATAACAATAATAAAGGTACATACATTCGCCACAGTAATAAGGATACAATAAGTTATTATAGTGCAGGTGACTTTGTCCGTTTAATAAGTTAATAAAAGGGCTTAACCGAATTAGGTGAGAGCAAACTCAATTGAACGTGAGTTGCTATAATCTCATGTGACTTTATCATTTTCTTAATATTTTTTGCTGAACTTCTACTGAACGCTGATTGGATAAAATGCTTCTTAGTGTTTCCTGAGCATTCCTTGTCTTTTGCGAGAAGTTTTCTGGATCACCTCAACACCTCCCCCCTTTCAGAAAATTAGACCTCTTCTCCAGGTCTACTTGCAGCTTGATAACTGGTTTTCTGCGGCGTTTGAACTTTCTTGGTATTCAGTGTCTATGAGTGTCTGTTGGGGTTCCTGTCATTGGAGTATCTGTAATTATATATAGCGGAAGCCTCACTGGACTATCTACCGTATCTAGGGTCCTTTTCTCTCTGTGTATTTGATTAATGTATCTAATCCACGTTCTGAAAGTCCAACGCACTTTGTATAAAACATTTCCCATTCTCTTCTCAATGACTCCTGGTTCCCGACGATTTTTCCCAATGTGTGATTTGACGCGCACTTTATCACCCACGTTAAAACTCCGGATATTCTGATTTTATCTGGTTTAGGTGGTAACATGACGTTGAATATAGTTCGGATGCTTCTCCCGTACATCGCTTCACCAGGGGATTCCCCATCCGGGACGATAGGGTTAGGCGTAGTTCTATAAGCTGTTAAGAATTTCGTAATTACCTAACTTTTCCCCTCGCCTTCCCCTTTCAGTAGTGCTCTTTTGAATATCTCCATCTCAACTTTCGACGTATCGACGTTGTTACTGATTGAGTTTTTGGAGCGGTCTGTTATCTTCAAACTTTCGATCCAATCAAGCCCCGATAAGTCAAGTGATGGACGTTCTGTCAAAAATATTACACCCTTCCCCGTAAATTCTTTGACTGTGACTTCACAAAGAATCTCACCAGCAATGTTTTGATTTCCCCTCGTTGCACTCTGTGCTGATTGATGAATTGAATATATTCGCGGTCTCCCAATTTTCTCCCACGTTCTCCTGCTTATAAGTGTTATATCGGAGGCTGTGTCTAGCTGTATGCGGACATCATACCCATTAATCTTAAGAGAAACATACTTTATACGGTTATGGGAGCTGGCTTTGTGAAGAACTACCGTTACTTTAGCTGTTTGTGGCTTAAATCTTTTAGAATACACTTTCTGTTGACAGCGTTTTCGGGTTTTGCAATGACTTTTCTTGTGCCCTTTTCACCCAGTCATCTGGTTCTTTCGTTATCTTGACGTATTGGTAACGGATATTAAATAGAGATGACTGTTCTCCAAAGATTTGAGACAGGGTTTTAATTGTTTCATCAAAACTAAAGTCTCGTGGATTCTTCGGGAGAATGAAGTTACTATAGCGTTCATGTTCAATCGTCCTAAGTTTTATTGGAAGTATACTGACTTTTGAGGCATCATCAATATGGAACAAATCTTCATACTTCTTAAACCAAGAATCAAAAGTTACACCTACTACGCCATCAAAATTAAATTTATGTGTGGAGTTAATGAATGAATCAGTATGAGATACTTGTGATTCTCCAAAAGCAGGGTTTTGCTGGGACAGGCACAATTTCTGCATCAGGGCTTCCATGATTCTGATTTGGCACTGTTCAAACATTTCTTGATGCTTCCTATATGTAGTATGTAGCAGGAACAGGAAGTGGAATACTTACTAGCAGAAGATTGAAATAAGGACAGGTAGGAAAATGGAGAGCAATCGAAATAACAGCAGTATTAGACGAATGTTGCATTATATCAAGAACAAGTGAAGGAAGGTATGCAAATGATGTGCTTTATGAATGATTTTCATATTCTACTAAGGCGTTGTGCGATTTTGCGTAAAACAATAAATTGGCTTGCTGTATTTAAATCATCGTTCACTAAACTATGTGTCCCGATTTTCCAAAGCCCTTTTAGTTTCATGTTCAGAAGAAAATCGCAAGTTTATCGACATCTAGTGATGATTCTCCAATTATAATCCCGATTATAATTTCTCTGCCTTGCATATTCTATTTCGTATGCAGACTAGCGTTCTAAGCTTTGACCAACGATACACTTTGACTGACAAGATTAAACCTGAGTTAATGCCGATATAATCTTAGTTTCTTCTGGTCAACCAATATGTTCACCTTCTATCCTCGGTTTTGAGTTCGAACAAGGGAATATGACAAACAGATTCGATCAATAAATTATTTTATCCCAAACAATCATTAGTTTATATACATGAATCATCAGACCGTAATGCCCTCCAAATAAAAAAATCATTCTTTACAATTGTGCCACAAGTGGCTATAGTTAAGGAACAATAGAAGTAATAATACATAATAGTAATGGTAGTAATATATATATATATATATATATATATATATATATATATATATATATATATATATATATATATATATACTTAGCTGCCTAAACGCAACTATATGGGCTCGGACGCGCTTCAAACTATTGTTTGGGAACTGAATGCTCTAACGTCTAGGCTGTTATAGTTTACAGATATGAGGTTGTATTTTTCATAGGTTTACTATTTTTGCGAAGTCGTCATAAAACTGTTCTCGAGCCGAATAATTTTCTGTACAACTACCATTTTTCTTTTAGACTAATAATGTTTACCATAGTGAAACTGTTACCACAAATAATAATCTGCATGAATCACAAAGTATTGACGCAGTTCTCCCAACAGCAATGACTACTAGTATTTCATCAACCACGGAAATTCACAACATTTCTACCTCATATCATCCACTTGAGAATTACAAAAATATTAATAATGTCGCTAAGAAACCTGACGGCATTACACAACATAATGATGGAGATAATAAAAAGCTACTGGATACCAGTCAACTCACACAATCGGTTTCAACAGTCTTAGCAGAACACCGTCTCTCTGTGGATAATAAGAACATAACTATACCGCTTACCGCTACTACTGCTACTGCTAATGCTACTACTATAACTACTTCGTTTGCTATTAGTCGCGGTTCTGATGTGGAAATGTTGCAGGCATTACAAGATTTTGTTCAACCTGATGAAATTTTCATTTTTCCTCCAATATCCAGATTAAGTTTGAATTTCTTTGTTCCCATGGTTGAGAAAAGTTATCGACGTTTAGGTTTACGACGTCCAAGAATGCATTCTATTGAGAAATTATCATGGTCCACACCACGTATCGCACCATTTATCAATACAATTACAGAGACAATATTGATTTTTGTTATTGCTATAACATGTTTAATTGTTTTTCCAGATGCTCGAAGAGCAGTGAATACGCCAACTTTTTATATTATTTTATTTATCGCCTTCATGATACATACACTGTTATTAGCATTGTTAATTTCCGATTTGGCTGCATGGGCCTGGTGTCCAAGACGTAACAATATTAGTAGTAAGTCCATGTTGAAAACTCCTAGAATCCGTTATGATTGGCGACGTATAGTGATTCGGCTATATGGGAAGCTGTTTCGTTGGAATTCACGTAATGTGATTGGTGTTTTTATTTTGATCTTACCAACATCTGTTGTTTTGTCAACCTATTCTTATTGCTTATTTAATAAATATACACCTTTAATAACACTCGATGCGTCATTAAATCATAAAGACGCCTATTATTATTCTCACATGTTCTATGCTACTTATCGTGCACAGATTGGTTTATTGTTCACTTTTATGTTTATCAACTGTACATTGTACACGTCGTTTTCCTCTTGGACGAAAACTATTTCAGCTACATTCGTCTGTTCGCTGGGTATACTATTGATATCCTTACATAGAACACTTCAGTACACGTGTTCGCCACAGCATGCTCAGTCATGGTATTCGGTAATAAAGTATAGTTTTAATAGTCCAGCAATTGTTGAAAAACGACTAGAAAATCGAAATTCATCATTTTTATTTGAGTTTCCTAATTGGTCATATCCCGCCATGTCTGATAATGCGGTGTATGAGTATATCATGATTGGATTGCTTACTTTGATTCTAGTTGGTGCATTGAATCGTGAATTTGATATTAATTTCCGATTAAGTTTTCATCGAGATTATGAAGCTCTACGAGCTAAGGAAGCTATTGGTCATCAAAAATTGCAAGCTGATTGGTTATTGGAGAACATTATTCCATATTATATAATGAATGATTTACGTCAGCATAATAAATACTCTCGACATATTGAAGATGCTGGTGTAGTTTTTGCATGTATTGCCAATTTCTCTGAGTTTTATGACGAACAATACCAAGGTGGTCAAGAGATGTTACGTGTTATGAATGAAATATTTGCTGATTTTGAGCATCAACTCGCCTTATCAAAATATAAAGACGTCGAGAAAATCAAAACAATCGGCTCATGTTTTATGGCTGCTTCTGGATTAAATATGACTGAACGTAAACGCAATAAACGATCGGATGAACATTTGTGGGCATTGCTTGATTTTGCTTCGGATTTAATTCATACACTAGATGATTTCAATCGCCAGATGTTCAATTTTCAATTTGAGCTAAAAGTTGGTTATAATATTGGTGAAGTGACAGCTGGTGTTATTGGTACTACAAAACTATTATATGATATATGGGGTGATACTGTCAACGTGGCTAGTCGTATGTATTCAACAGGTTTAAAAGGTAGAATACAAGTTACTGAAGCTGTTGCTAAACGCTTAGAATCACGTTATATATTTGAATACCGCGATGAAGTGTTTGTCAAGGGTAAAGGTAATATGAAAACCTACTTATTGGTAAGCCGTCGAAATAGTTAAGAGGAAGGGATGATTATCGAGATAATTTCACTGAAAAAATACGTCTTATCTGTTTGTTTGTGTTACTAATGGTACGGGTACTACTCATAATTTGATCAATTATAGCGTCTTCGTCTGTGGTCACTTGATCAATGGGACAATTTAGAAAATTTGAAAAATTATCTAAATTTTTACTTTACTACACACACAAAATCCTTTAATAGATCTTTTCATATACATGTGTTTGTTATCGTTCTTCACTGTTATTTTTCAAATTAACGACTCACTGCACCACCGTTATTTTCGCTTAATCATAATTTTTAATTAAACATAATAATACTTATTGAGAAAGAATCATATATTGGACGTATTAGTTTACACTTGTAATAACCATTTTCCTGTCTTTGCCTTTCTTTATTATCGTCTTTTTACACAGTGATTGTTATTGTTGTCATTATTGGTTTCCTTTCATTTTCCTCATCATTTTCAACAAAATTTCATCTACTGTGCATTTGTCCTAGACATCCATCGTCAATATTCTATCGATAAATAATCATATAAATGTATTAAATTCTGTGTCTTTATATGTTGGTTTAAACGGAGTGTTAATTTTTTATGCTTATGAACTTTGTCTAAATATTAGTTGCATATTTTAGTTTATATGACATTAAGCGCCGGACCAATTGATTGTCATATGTTCCACTTTTAATCGGAATCAAGCTTAGTTGTGAAGCCATTTTATATCGGAACTATATTTGTCTAAATACATACGTATGTGTGTGTATGTGCACATGAACCTTGTGAACATAAATAACTTGAACTTAAGAATTCAGCTATCACTGTTATATTGCATTTTTTTTCATGATTATCTAGACTACTTTTCACTTGTTTTGTCCTCTTTATTATGATATTTTAAAAGGAAAGTGGTAATAAAGTTGAAAGACATGCATTAATATCCGCTAGCTTTTCGTTGTCGTGATTGCTTGTATTTATTCACTGAAGATATATAAGGTGATCTCTTGTTCAAACTGAAATCTAATCATCAATTACTTGGTAAAAATTCACATTTATCAGTTCTGCGTGTTCTTTCTGTGGTATTAATCCTTTTTTGTCGTTACACAACTGAGGGTTATACATATGATTATAGACTTGTTCAATTATCTTTCTCGAATTAATTATGTTATCTCACATTCAACTGATTGCTTTTACTAACGGTTCCTGTCATTAGTTCATGTTGACTACTTCCTATTTTTTCTTTCCACTTCTTTTGTTAAATTTGAGCTGTGATGGCTTCTATTTACGTATTCTCTGCTGTAATTCGTTTTGAATATAGAACATGTAACATCATAAAGTAGAGAATATTTTGAGAAGCCCGCAAAAGAATAGCTGTTGATGGCGATGGCCGTAATATATATTCCGATTTTGTTTGATTTTATTTATTGTAGTTCTATTTGGTTTATTATTACTACTTTTAATGTTTACGATGAATAAACAAGTTTGATATGATGATGTGCTACTTAGTTATCTAAATTGAGGTTGAATTACCGATCTGTACTTTCACCTTCACAATAAAACATGTAGGCGAACTCAGCACAACTTATTAATGAAGGCTTATTGAATTTCATCATTGTGGACTGATAGTAGTTACTATAGATCAGTTGACAGTCAGAAATTATTCAACATCCTACTTCATGTAGTGTTCAATTTGTTAAAACAGATCTCGATCACTTTAAACCTATTACAATGAAAAATTCCATCATACATCACAGTGGAAAATTGAAGAAAAACGTTTCCAATCGTACACCCAATAATGTCAACCTATTCGAGGAAAATAACATAATACAACGACTCAACTTAAACAATTGTCTTTAATTTATCAGCTCCTCATTGTCAGCTACTTATATTTCTAGTGATGACGTATGTACTGTGGTGCAGAAATTCAAACATCAATATCTCGTGAACGGTTGGTCGTATAGCTCTGAATTTTGTTTAACATTATTGCTGACGATCTCACGTATTAGACGAAACAAACGAAATGCGAAAATGTTGAGTGTAAGTGCCTGTTTGGGAATATCTCGTGAACGGTTGGTCGTATCGCTGTGAATTTTGTTTCATATTGTTGGTGAGGATCTCACCTATTAGACGAAACAAACGAAATGCAAAAATGTTGAGTGTAAGTGCCTGTTTGGGAATATCTCGTGAACGGTTGGTCGTATCGCTCTTAATTTTGTTTCATATTGTTGGTGAGTTTCTCACGTATTAGACGAAACAAACGAAATGCGAAAATGTTGAGTGTAAGTGCCTGTTTGGGAATATCTCATGAACGGTTGGTCGTATCGCTGTGAATTTTGTTTCATATTGTTGGTGAATAACTCACGTATTAGACGAAACAAACGAAATGCGAAAATGTTGAGTGTAAGTGCCTGTTTGGGAATATCTCGTGAACGGTTGGTCGTATCGCTCTGAATTTTGTTTCATATTGTTGGTGAGTATCTCACCTATTAGACGAAGCAAACGAAATGCCAACAAGTTGAGTGTAAGTGCCTGTTTTGGAATATCTCATGAACGGTTGGTCGTATCGCTCTGAATTTTGTTTCATATTGTTGGTGAGTTTCTCACGTATTAGACGAAACAAACGAAATGCGAAAATGTTGAGTGTAAGTGCCTGTTTGGGAATATCTCATGAACGGTTGGTCGTATCGCTGTGAATTTTGTTTCATATTGTTGGTGAGTTTCTCACGTATTAGACGAAACAAACGAAATGCGAAAATGTTGAGTGTAAGTGCCTGTTTGGGAATATCTCGTGAACGGTTGGTCGTATCGCTGTGAATTTTGTTTCATATTGTTGGTGAGTATCTCACTTATTAGACGAAACAAACGAAATGCGAAAATGTTGAGTGTAAGTGCCTGTTTGGGAATATCTCGTGAACGGTTGGTCGTATCGCTGTGAATTTTGTTTCATATTGTTGGTGAGTATCTCACCTATTAGACGAAACAAACGAAA